CCTCAGTGTGTTCTCTTCCATCATGCTGTGGCCGACTGTGCTGTCGTAGGCAAGGAGGATGCCTTGAAAGGACATGTCCCGTTTGCACTGTGTGTGCTGAGGGAAGGTGAGAGCTCGTTACTGCTCGTGTGTTACTAAAACTTCTATAAGATCAGGGAAAGGTTAAAGCGTTTGAAATTCTTCACTAGGTGTACAGACAGAAGAGAAGAAGATTTTGGAAGAGATTGTTGAGCAAGTTCGAAAAAACATTGGTCCAGTGGCAGCTTTCCAGAAGGGAGTGTTTGTGAAGCACTTACCAAAGACACGTTCTGGCAAGATACCGCGTTCCGCCCTTTCCGCCCTTGTCAGTGGGAAGCCGTACAGCGTAAGTTGTGGGTGTGTAAAGCTGTACAACGTAGGCTGTAGATGTGTGTCTTTCTGAATTAGGTGCACGTGCAAAGACTCAACATCATCTTGGTGATACTCTAGGCCATTCTTAAATTGCTCTATGATGATAGGTAGTGTGTTGCCTATACTGTATCTCCCCTAAAAGATCTTAATGCACAGGAGGTTTCCAAATACCCCATTCTCAGCTGAGCTTTTGAAAGCTAGAATTAGAAGATGCACTGAATTACATTCTGTTTCATTACTGTTTGAGGGGTAACAAACTACTGTCACATGCTTCTGTGTATTTCTTTTCAGATAACACCAACCATTGAAGATGATAGTGTGTTTAAACACATTGAAGAAGTGCTGAAGACAAATCAAATGTGATAACAGGTTAATAACAAGCTTGCTGGTACTGGAATATGCCAAGGGACTTTCTGTTAAGAAACACCACATATTTTGAAAATTAATAATGATTTTGAACTAACTTTTTTACTAAAGAAAAGGTATTGTGTATAACATTGTCATAGCCAACGAAACGTACTGAAGCATATTACCATTTTATGCTGAATATTAAGATTACCAGGAATTGCCAATAGAATTTGTGCATTTTTATAGCCTTAAATTAGAAGGAATCATTAGATGATATGATATGATCTCTTATGACCTTAGATTTTAATCCAATATTATATAATGAGAACAATAACATGAATTTGGCTAAAACAGCTTACAAAAGGTAAATCATGGTCTGAGGACGGCAGTAAGTAGAAATTCTAACGTGAATGTTGTTGCAGATATAAATTGTTTCCACTTGTAAAATATAAGCTTTATCTTTTTAAAAAAGAGTACAGTTATTTTTTGGTTTCTGCTGATTTCTGCCAAGTCTGTCAGTTATAAATGAACTTTTTTCAATGATTTTCTGAGTGCCTTTTTGTAGTATGCTAATGAAGTCTTATAGCTTTAAAAATCTGTGAATACTTTGTTTTATATACAGTAACAGTGAATAAAAATCATTATAAATTTGAAATAAAAATACGTTTACTCTTTGCATTTTTGCTAATTTTGTTGTTGTGCATGTCACTCTTACAAAAGAATAACCAGGATTTTTGGGTAGGTTGACATAAGCAAATGCTTTAGGTTTGCTCAGATACGTATATGTAGCCAAGAAATTTAGCAAATGCAGATACGAAGTAGATGATTCTTGAATTCATATGCCTTTCCAAAATAGTTTCCAGGTTCTCAGAATAGTAGCAGATGGAGGATACACACTCTAAATACATTACTTCTCAAGCTGCGTTTTTAACTAAACAATGTAAGGAACCTTTTCAAAATATATGTTTATAGAAATGTTTTTAAAACGACAACAACAAAAAAGTTATCCAAACTCAGCATTGCTTTCCATGAGAAGTAGCGATAAGCAACAGATAAATTCAAATGTTGTGATAAAGGAGAGGTTCCCTACATAGGCTAAGCAAGGTAGAAATTAAGTCAAGACATATTTTGTTGTTTCAGTATATCCTCAAAAGAAGATGTCTAGAAATACTGTTACCTTTTGGGTTGAGTGAAGGGCTGTAGCACTGTTAAGTGACACAGTAATATTGTGATAAAACAGCATATTGATATCACAGCCAAATGGCAAAGATAGCTAGCTATTTAAAATACCCTGGTTCACACTCTGCCTGGAGCCTGTGACCTTTTCTATACAGCTTGTAAGTTCTACCAGTGCCATAGAAAATAATAATAAAAAAAGAACAAAGCAGTCCCTATGGTTTTTACTTGGGACCATGTGCAGCTGAGCCAACCGTTGAATCAAGTCATACAGTCATATAACAAAACAGTGTGGTTTGACTCTGTTTTACTTTGGTCACTGGCAGATAATTGCACAATGAGGTACCCATCCTGCTCAGCTATTTAATGTGGCTGAAAATCACAATCTGGACAAGGAGCAAAAATATTTAAAGACTGAATGAAGACTAATGTTGCTTTATGGTGGGTAGGCTAACTCTTCAGTGATTTATATGTTGGAGTAATTTTGATTCTCAGCAGTGTCGTAGTAACGGCTGTGAAACCAGTAAGTTACAGCAGGTTGATCAGGTTATTATTTTCTTCTGGATGGATGATTGACATGCTAAGGCTTTAACAGGAGGCCTGTGACATGTAATGGAGTGCCCTGCAGCAGCTGGGGAGTGTTTTTCAGTTATAAAACACTGCAACTTGGCAAACTGTGCTGGACAGATACAGGTCAGTAGAGTCATCTTGGTGTCATCACTGATAGTTCTTTAAAATGAGCCGTTCAGTGACAGCCCCAAACAGTCAGCGTGTCGTTGGGCATCGTCAGGAAGGGTATTGAGAACACAAAA